GATTTCATCCATGACGATCTTTGCGAAATTCACTTGTTGAGAGTTTTGCATTACACAATACGACTTCATTTTTTTCATTTCCTTTTCGTATAAGTATATATCTTTAGATTTTCGGACTACATGTCCAAAAATTTCGTGTTTATCTAATAAATTCAATTTAGATTGCATCTCCTTTTATTTAATCAAACATTATTTCAATCGATTTATGTCGACGCATTTATTTCGATTCCTCGAGATTCACATATGACATTGTATATCATGTACAAAATTGTTGTCGACAACTTTTTCTTTTCCTATAGTGACATAACTTATTTAGATATCTCAATTTTCAACTTATCAGGTACCTGAACCTTTTCTGGAATTTTATAATTTGTTGTGTCTAAATACTCATTAAGAGTATATACCTCCTTAACGAAACCATGCTCCATTTTCATTTGAAGATTTATGTATTAGAATCGAATATCATCATGCTTCAGGCGTGCCATAGATGTATCAAATATAATGCTAACAAATTGTCCCCTAAGACATCGATTCGTATTGGAGCATTAAAAATTGGTGCGTGAGATATTGTTGATTTCTTTGATCAATAAATACATCTAAATAAATTATCTTTCGAACTTCCGGTTCGAATGATATTTAGCGAGGATTCAGATGATGATGCATTTATACATTATTTTCAACTTTTTAATTCCTCCCCTAACGCTGAGAGAATTGTCCAATCAAATTGACAATTATTTTTTCAGTGTTATAAAATATCGCCCATTTGAAATAATAGTTCAAACTACATACATATTCTCACCATTCTTTATTTTTCATCTCAATGTATTGTGGTGTTCAATTTTTATATATACTGCACCATAAAAAATAATTAGATAGAAAAATTAGGATCTGACCATAAACTGATTATAATATGAAGAATTATGATTTTGACATGACGCGTAATAGAATTCCCTAAATAAAAATGGGAAATACTTTATTCTCAATTAAATTAATTAGAGGCATTTAACAAACAGTAGTGTTGAACCATTTATCGACATCTCAATTAACAATTATTAAAATGTTAAGATTTATGCCCACTAACATTAACAAGACATAGTCTTGATTATATAATTTGAAAATTATGCTCACAACTTGAGCAATAATTTCGCAAAACTTTGAATTACAAACACCAGGTAATCATCTAATATTTATGTCAAATCTATTAGATACAAATAATATTTAGATAGTTAACATGGTGGGTGACGGGGCCTCATATATCACCCTAATTAATTTTCAAAAATATAGAGAATTCAATCCCTATTTTAGCTTGCGATGTTTAATGATCAATTGTCGATAAAGAAAATAAATAATATATAGGAATTCATTGGATTGAAAAATATTCTGATGCTTCATTTAATATCCATTAAAAAAATTTAATTTTGCATCATTATTGATCCAGTGATGGTCCAATTGGTCATGCCAAATAATAAAATCAAATTGAACTTCTAGTTCAATATAATATATAATTCAATTATTTAATCTCGAAGAATATGATTAAATATTATATAATCATATATCATTCAAGTAGTCAAATTAATCAATGTTCTAACGACATTAGTTATATGTTTTTCTTCAGGAATAAACATGAACTCAAGATAATATATTTTTTGAAACATGTGCTACTTTAAAAGCATGTTATTATTATTATTATTATTATTATTATTATTATTATTATTATTGCTCATTCAAAAGCAATATGTTAATATTCTTTTGGATTATATGAAAAATTTTAATGTCATGCTCTTCAGGAGTAATAAAATATTATTGTTTACAGTAATAATTATATAAAAATTTACTCTTCAGGAATAAAAACATAATTTTATGTTAGATCTCATATCATTGTGCTCTTTAAGAGCAATAAAATCTTACCAGAGCATCAATACCTAAACATGTATACAGAAAAATGGACACGTAAATAAATAGCGTAATTTAATTCGTGACTTTACATATAGTCGATCAATATTTTTTAGGAATATTGTAATTATAATATCATACTCTTTTGAAGCAATTAATATTCTATTTTTTTAATATTAATAACATTGTGTTTCTTCAGGAACACCAACACAACCTTTTTTTTTAATATTATTTTTTATATATATAAAATATATTTTCTTTAGGAGCACAACGAGACATATAATCTTTAAGAGTATAAATACAATACTCTTTTGGAATATTGACATTGACGATTAATTCTACCTTTTTGGCTAAATAATAAAATTTATGTCCTACATGAGTAACAATGAAATATTCTTCATGAATATTTATATAACGTGTTTTGTGTTTCTTTGAGAACATCAACATTATATTCATTTAAAATAACTATAATTTAAATTACACTTCTTCAGGAGCATTGAGTCAATATTCTTTTGGAAACTAAACTTGTAATATCATACTCTTTATAAGTAAGTAATATTCTTCTGGAATATTAATAATGTTGTGCTACTTAAGAAGCAACAACGAACTATTCATAATAGATAGTTATACAATTAATATTCTTTCGGAATATTAATTATAATGTTGTGCTACTTTTGAAACATTAAGATGATAAATTCTTAATTTGAAATTCACAGAATAATATCTAAAAATATATAATTACCTTATAGACATGATATGAACTTATATATAAAAATTAATTACCAAACATGCATTAAGAAAAAGAATCTCTATACATAGAAGTTAAGAAAATAAGCTAAATCATTTATTGGCGAAATCTTTTACCAATATGCAAAAGATACTAAACATGCATGTGAATTTCACATATATAGAAAAACTAAAGGTAAAACTAATATGTAACAGATTTAAAAAACAAAATTAATACTGATTAATATGTGGAAAAAATGATCGTGTATGAATAAAAGGAACGTGAATTAATATGTGTTCAGATTACGTGATAAATATTCATGCCTATAAAAATTATTACTTTCACTAAACTTTGAAAAATTAAGCTATCGTGCTGTTAACGTGTTATAAAAGTGAAGAAAAGAGAAGAGAACAGAGAGAAGTCAATAGACTTGTGTGATTCTCCTTTTTTATTTTTTGTGTGGAATCTAATACAAATTAATTTTACCATGAAGCATTCCTAAATATATTGTTGTCAATTGGTATCCCACCAAATAAGTTAATGTTGAAAAGAAATTGTTCAGTAACGCTCTAAGGAATCTGAACTCATCCAACGATCTTTACAATGGAACAAGAATTATTTCTCGTAATTTCAAAAGACATATTATCCATTCAGAAATAACTGTTGGACAACATGCCGGAAAACAAGTTTTCCTTCTGCGCATCCCATTAACTCTAGCAAAGGATGAAAGATGTCGATTCAAATTTAAAAGAAAATAATTTTCAATACATCTATTGAAATATTCATTTTCTGAATGTGTGAGTGTGTTTATTCTTTTTAACAATTTTAATTTTTTCTTTAGCAATATCGATTGATCAACTACTTTTAAAAATATTATTAGTACTTAAACAATATTACATGCATCATTCACCCGATACATAAGATATGCAACACACGTGCTTACTACTAGTAAATGTGAGAGAGAGAGAGAGAGAGAGAGAGAGAGAGAGAGAGAGACTGTCTTAGCTTTCTAAAATTGGTCAAATTATGATCAAACGATGACTTTCATCAATTGATGAAATTTTGGATGGAAACTATGCTCATAGTTTAAATCACTACAATATATAAAGTAGGAAAGTTGTAACACTATTCATAAGACATCATGCTTACATCATTTTTGTACCAATTTTACCTTTTCTTTTTCTCAAGCATGACGTTTTTTCCTTCTCACTCTCTTTCTCCATTTCTTCACACAACCTCCCATGCTTATTGCTCTATTCTATACACAACATATTTTATAGGTTTTTTTCTTTCTTCTTCTCTCTTTTCTATTTTTGTTCAATTTTGTCCTTCTTTTCTATTTCTTGTTACGGTTTCATCAATTACGGAAGGCCCGACTCTGATTTTCTATTCGAGTCTCAACCCTACGTCTCTTCAACTCCCATCCCAGGATCATCTTCCTCAAAGAGTAAGTTCGATTTTTTTTTAGTTTTTATCAATAATTAATTTAAATATGATTTCAGTTGGTTAAAAATTTAGGTTTAATTTAATTTTACGTCTCGGGTTGTTAATTTTCCACGGCTTCTTCCCACAATTGTGCTGTTTTTAGTCCAAAAACGCCAATGTTTAGTAGCTTCATCGAGAAACTCTCCAGCCTAACTCCAAATCAGATCTAGGTATCCTTCATTTCCTCTTCTTTACACTCCTTACTTTTAGTAATCATTTATAATTTGGTTTAGATACACGCTAATTATATCAAGGTCTATCTTTATGTTTGTATGCCCCTTGGTCTATTTATTTTAGGTTATGTCAGCATTTTCGCAAACTGAAAGTTTCTCTTCTTCAATGAAATAGAGACTTTACAAAAATGTGTTTTATATGGCATTAATGGGACATGTTCATTGAAACATTTGTCTGTGGATAATGGAAATGAAAAGTATAATGTTATGGTAGATTCCATGAAACCTAATTTTGTAAACTATCCACACAATGATTATCTATGTTGTTTGTGACAGAAAGGAGTCATCTGCAAAGTGGCATCATCATTATTTTTCAAGTTGCACAATATAGAAAATTTTGACAGTCTACTTGTTAGAATGAAAGATAAGAAAAGGTTTAGCCACTGTTAACAGGGTCTGTCTAAAAGGATGAGAAAAAAGCATCAATAGTAGGAATATCTCATATGACATAACTATTTTATTTGGATGGTACGCGCCATATAATTCTTGTATTTTTTTTTTCGTGAGCTTAAGAAACTGTAAATATTTTCATTAGTTTGATGACATTTTATTTGATAGATTTCATTGTCTGGTGTTGCTTGTAATGCACGTGCAGAAACATGTGTAAATTTGCCAATATTGATGAATCTTTTGTATACATGTCTATGGAAAACGTCATTGTGATGAATGGTTTGGAATTTAAGATGGCATCCAACTCATCCAAGGTATACTTCTCTCACTTCTTTGAACTTTTTACTCATTCTATTATTGAATGATAAAATCCTCAAGCAATTTTCAAAGATCCTGCAGGGGAAATAATACATTGGTAAGTTGCTTCTTATTATCATCGATTATGCATTTAATTATGTCGGTTTGAAGTTTAATTTTATGTTTTTAGATCATACCTTACTTGATTATTTCTCTCGATTAGGTCATGTATGATGCTTACACTCTATTTGGTGATCCTACTCCAACAAACAAGCAGTACAATTCAGTCAAGATTTTTAGCAATCCCGATATTGCTACTGGAAAAACATGGTAATAATTTTTGAGAATTGAATTGTAATATGATTTCTTTCAAAAAAAATTTGGAATTTCTGATGCGTTGAATTTATATTTTTCACATTTAAGGTATGGTATTGAGCAAAAGCTCAGCCTTTTGCAAAAGGGATGTTAAGTGGCCCATTGAATGGCCTCAAGGAGGTTATCCCGAACCTCAAGTATAACACTATAATGTACAAAATATTAGCTGTTTATTGTCTTTATATTGACAAAAAATTCTAATTTCAAGTCCTTTATTTATGCGTTATAATAATATCGAGATTCATGTATTTAATTAAGAAAGAAGCAATTTGTGTGCCACTGTTGCTCGACCGTGCCGATCCCATACCTAACATACCGCATGTTGGAGATAAGCTCTTTTACTTTCCTCAAGGTCACAGGAGTATGAAAGTGAAATTCAATTGCCTTTCTGTATAGTCGATGAAGTCAAAATTAAATGAGAACAACATTGTCGTTCAAAAGTGTGCATATGATTACATATATGGCATGAGGGATTAAATAGTTTTATATGAAATTCTTTTAATAAGCTATTAAGTGGTATTTTGGATTAACATCTCGACAATTATATTTATGCAAAGTTATGACATTGAGTTTACTGAAATTGTATATTCATTGTTGGTTCTTTGTCAAAAATACACTTGTTGCATTTTACCTGAAGCAAATTTTTGAGGCAATGACAGTTGCAATTTGGTAACAAAGACCCGATTTGGTGATGCTTTAGATATGATACACGCCAATATACCTGAATTACACAGCACCATATAGGCAGATGCTGAGTTAGATTCCATGTGGAATTCCAAACAAGTAGGTGAGGCACTCTTGTGGGCTATTAGAAAATATGGTAACAGAATCTTGTTAGAGGAATTTGACAAAAAACCTAATTGAAAAAAGAAAGTTAAAAAATATATTCTTTTAGGTAGACTTTTTTTATCGCATAAATATTTTTTTCCCCACTTTACTTATTTGTCCTTTTTTTTTTTATGAATTATTTGCACTCTTTTAGTTTATTTATACTGATCAGTGAAAAAGTGAAAAACCAGGCATTCTTATAATGGTTATACCTTGGAATATCATTTCAAAATTATCATGCATTTAATTCAAAGACTAGCAGCTTCTAGTGTGTTATGTATTAATCTTTTGATCATTCATTCAATTTTCTTTATCCAATATGTTGTATTGTTAGCTGCTCAATAAACTCATTTTGTTTTCATTATGATCAATCTACATCTGATTGGACTATTGTCTCTAAAGTAAATGAGATTACTGTGTTTGTGTTTTTCCATGAATCTATGTGTATGTTGTGTCAACTTAGGCACTGATGTGGTTGGGGTTAAAAATGTGGCTTTTGTTTGCAGATTCAAACTGAGAGTTGCATATTTTCAAACAGTTGGATAGGTTCTTGAAGTTGCTTTTCTCATAGTTACATGAAAATGTCTTTGCTTAGCCAAATGAAATCTTTTTGTAGAACATTATCTTGCACGTTTGAACTACGGGTATTGTTTTGATGAATAAATGATTTCAAATAACTAGAGTTCAATTCCTAGCAAGGAAATGTACGATTACACAAGTAATAAAGTATTGTTTCTATATTATATAGTTATTCATCCACTTGAAATTGTAGCTTTCTTAGGAAGGGACAAAACTAGGGTGTATTTCATTTTTACGTTGGAAATATTGCTGCTATTAATCTTGAAAGGTGGGATGGGAAGTCCTAAAATGGTAAGATTATAATAAAAGATTTTTCTTTTTTGTTAACCTGACTTGGAGTTTGACAAACCTAATATGTTAACAAGACATAAATATGATTTCTTGTAGCAATTCAAACTACGAAGTAACACAAGGTTTGGATTATTTTGCACTTGGCTTCATCTTTGTTGAAGTTGTCGTTAGAGTAACTTCATTAAGAATTGACAGATAGAGCTTTTCAATCTAACTTCCATTTGTTTTATTTATTTTGTTTTATTATATATTAACTATTTTTCTAAACAATAAGTATCATATACATTTTCACACCTCCCATAAATTTGTCGTTCTATTGCCACCTTGTGACTTTGTAAATGTATTCTATAAACTTGAAAAGGATCTACATTTTTGTTTACATGCACATTTTGTATTTAGTAATTTATTAGAATGTAAGAAATGGACATAAGTTTCAAAATTTCATATTTTTGCTCATTAAGTCGAGAATGAAAGTATGTTGACCAAGTTTGTGCAGATTCCAGTTTGTCTCTAATTTGAACGTTCATGTGATATTACTTGCATAATATCAAATGTGTTTTGATACAATTCATCATGTGTGCATCTTGTTGATTATAGTTTAGAAAAACCCTATTTGTCTTGTCGTGAGTATAAGACTTGAAGATATTGTTATCCTTTGGCAGTGTCTATTAAAAGTAAAAGGATAATTAAGATTTTATGCTTCTTATAAAAGCACATTTATGCTGGGAATGTATTAAGCAGTGGTGGAAGTACACCATTTTCACATGCAATCGCTGCAGACTGGGTTAACATGGTGAATGTCTAGAGAAGGTCTCTATTTACACATCTAGGGATTCCTATGATTTGTGGGTTTAATGCTATTCATGGACACAACAACGTCTATAATTACACCATATTCCCACATAATATTAGGCTTGGGACCACTAGGCAAGTAATATCAAACCCACTGCGTAATATTTCTTGGTACAATATTCCTTCTATCTGGTAAAGAATTTATATTCGTGTTCAAAAATTTTTATTAGCAAACTCTTATAATATCATGCTATAGTCTTATCCTCTAATATAAGTTGAATCAATATTTATAGAGGCTGTTTCAAGCAACAATATGAGCTATGAGAGCAAATTATTCCAAATATAGATAAAAAAATAAAAATAAAAAAAAAACCAGTTGAACCTTTATTTATTCTGTATTATAGAATCTTTAGCATCCATATCAATTTTTTGTTCCTTTTTGTGAAGCTCATAAATATCACAACGAGATCACATTTTGATGTTCAGCTCATGGGAGTATCATAATGTTTTTATTAACAATTTGCCTTTTTTTAAATGAATAATGGAAATCAAAATGTTGGATATTAATTTCGTGATTCTCTTAGTTTAGGGAAAAGTTGAAATTTGAAGTACAACCAAATACTTTCGATTTATTATCTGGCAATCTATTTATGAGTGAAATGTTAATATTTGATTTTTAATGCATGACTAACTATTGCTATAGTATTTACTTTCAAGTAGTCTTACATAGACAGTGGTGTACTTGTAGGTTAATTGCGATGGTATTGATGATTCTTAAACATTCAACTTGGAGGTTTTGAAGTGGGTTAAAGAAACTAGAAGTTAGTTTGCTGAGCTTCTAATTGTGGCTATATATTGATGACAAATGCTTCTATTTCTTGATAGCAAATTTCCACCATTTGTAAAAAAGTTTGTCAATATAGTACTTTCTTTGATTCGTTAAAATTGTTAGCTATGCATATCCAGTTGTGAAGAAATTATTAAGTGTGTGTTCATTTTCATTTTTCATATTTTTTAACCTACATTTATACCATAAGCATGTTCATTTTAAAATAATGCAGATAACATAAATAAATTTATACAATCTAATTCTGCTGATATTCCATTTATTGTAGTTTTTCTAACTACTAATATGATACATTCTTTTTACCAATTTCTTTGCTCTAAAAACATAATAAATTTTACAAAATTAAATTCTTAAGTTATAGTAGAAAAACAGCCTTTTCTCGTCGGAGGATTATTGCATCTGCTACTAATTTTCAAGAAACTTTCTACCCTTCAGCTACTTAGGGGCCCCACTATTTTATGATCGCTGCACTTCCTCGTTATTTGCTCCGATGGTCGACAAAGTTTGTAAAAAGGTTGCAGGCTGGAAAGGTAAACTACTTTCTTGGGGAGGTAAGCTCACCCTCATTCGATCGGTATTAACCTCTATGCATTTAATGTCAGTGATACGCTCTCCAGATAAAGTGATTCATGAATTACAATAGATCTTTGCTAATTTTTTCTGGGGTGATTATGAAGGGAAGCATAAATATCATTGGATTTCTTGGAAGAAAATTTGTTTCCCCTCTTAAGAAGGGGGATTGGGTGTCCGAAGTTTATTTGATGTTTTATACTCACTCCAATGTAAAATGCTATGGAGAGTTTTGACAGGTGAGTTTTTATGGGCTGCATTCATAAGGCAGAAATATTTGATTGTAAATTTTAACATGAACTCTTACTCACCTGGACTTGGTTCATCTCCATGTTGGTGTAATTTAAGTAAACACCTTCCTTTTATTCATGACCACAGCAAGTGGATGATCGGGGAAGGAAAAATCTCATTTTGGTATGCAAACTGGACAGGTTTTGGCTCTTTATATGACCAAGGCTGGATTGTTAATGAACCAAGGTTACAGTTGAAAGATGTTTGTGCAAAGGATGCTTGGAATACTGATCTTATTCATAAGCTGGGAAGTGACAATTTGATGGCTTACATTCATACTTTAGCTATCTGCTTGAAGCAAATGCCAGACAAACTGATTTGGTGTCCAACTCCAACAGGAGAGTTCTCTACTAATACGACTTGGAATCTTTTACGTGAGACCAAGGACAAACTTCATCTCTTCAAATTGATTTGGAATAAATTGCTCCTGGTAAAAATCTCAATCTTCTTTTGGCGTGTTTGGTTTGGTATAATACCAGTGGATAGTGTTATTAGAAGTCGTGGTGTCCCATTAGTATCAAAGTGTTATTGTTGTTCTCATACAAAAGTGGAGGATGTTGAGCACCTATTTCATACTAGCGAAGCAACGACTCATGTTTGGACTCATTTTGCCAACATCGTTGGAGCTCGAATTGTTTTTGCTAGCTCATGGCGTGTCGTACTTATTAATTGGTTGCACCAATTTGATGGTTCTTCGCAATTTCATCAACTTGCTCTTTTGACCCCTACGCCAATTGCTTGGGAGCTTTGGATTGCACTTAATGAGGCTAGATTTAATGAAGGTTTGGTCAATGGACATAAAATTTGCTCCAAAGTGAAATGCTAGATGGTTGAATTAAATTCATTATTGCGACCATCACGTGCTACTCCCTCTCATTTTCATGCTACTCTCCATTGTCTTGGTATGGCTCCAACTCCTTTGACAACTAAGGCTCCTCTCCTTGTTCGTTGGTATCGTCCCCCTTGTGATATTCTTAAACTTAACATTGATCGTGCTAGCTGTGGCAATCCTGG